GAGAGAGAGAGAGAGAGAGAGAGAGAGAGAGAGAGGGAGGGGTGTGGAAGCTCCGAGGAAGCCCAGCAGTAAGGAATTGACTGAAACAGTGGACATATGGTATGCAAGGAGGCACAGAACGGAACGGTCGTCCTTAAAAGAACACCCCTCAAACTTCACATGCCACTCATGTCCCAGATTAGCCAGACGACACTGTCATGAGGTCAGATGCAAGATCCAGATGGATTGGTCAGATGGAACATGAGGGACTGGAAGATAAAAATGGATGAACTGCCGTGGACAGACTCTGCATGCATGAGCAAACGACATGAGATAGACTAGATGCAGGGACAGGGTATGAAGTAGATTTTGGGATAAGTCGGCAGCCCCCCTTCCTCCCTTAGTCGGCAGGATTTAAATTCCAAGTCTGTGAACACAAACTTATCAGTCAAATTGAGCACTGCGAACACAGGACAGAAACGAAGGTACTGAACAGTTGCAAACACTGCCCTATGAAAAAAGTCTGCCATTGTTCCTTCCCCTGTTAAGAACCAGCTACACAATGCACTCGGTAGATTCTATTACGGGCATGCCTGACTATCGTCAGACTCTGTGTCGCAGAGTCCAACCATCCCCAAGTGCACTGCGGCTACACCGCTCCAGGAGTGAGCGATTTGCAAACATTCGCTTGACACAAGCATCTGGCAAGTTCTTTGCCTTTTTCTGAGGCAATGACGGATGTGCCACATGCATTAACCGAACCGACAGGCGACTCTCAGCATCGAATGAATGTTCCCTACACAAGAAGAGGACCCCACCCCAAAGTTACCCACTATTCGAGACAAAGGAAAGGATCTGCCACTGGCTCTGCTTGCGCATGGACCTATATCTCATTACAACCACTAAGCTAAGCTATTGCTGCTCACCACTGGCATTACAATGGCCTAACTCTGTGAATGTGAACTTAACTCCTCAACTCTCTGATGATGATTCTGATGCTACATCCAGCGTCACACTCGCTGTAATGCAGTCTCCAGTAGGGTGCCAACCACCTTCACAAGTTCCATGCACACCGTTCACAGACCTCTTGGCCCGAGGGCACATGCTGCAGACTAACACAAGGCTTGGCCGAGAGAGATGTTCCGTGGGCACAAGGCTTTGGCCCGAGAGATGTTGCGAGGGCACAAGGCTTGGCCTGAGAGATGTAGGGCCTGGGCTGAGTCACGTCAACCACCCAGGGAGACCTTGTTCTTACTCACTGCTCTTGACCTTGGCAGCGCCTGGACATGCTTCTTAGAACTACCAGTACAGGACTCCCTCCAAACACGTAGGCAGCAGCACTTGTATGAGCAGCACCGTGACTAATGGGCAGCCCCTGGACCTGGACCTGGACCAAATTTGGTTGCACCATCTCTGCCGAAGATTGCGAATCCCGAAATGGGCAGAGCTTTGTGAATTTGTCTCCAACACTCATCGGCAACATTGGCAAAAAAAAAACACTTGGACAACTTGTACTGCTTGTGTGCATGCCCTGAGAGGACACAGAACTGGGCAGTAAATAAATTCGAAAAATACTTGGTATCCAAAGAGGTGGTAAATACTATTGCAGGACCCAGTTGACGACTATGGGATGGAACCTTCGCTCGTACACAAGTACACAAGCTGGCGGCTTCTAGGTCTATATCCCTCTCAGATTTAAGGATAGCCGGGCGCGTCAGTTGCCCTCTACTCAACTGCCACTTGGCAGAAACGCCATCAAGCAGAAAAGTCATTAAGCCACCAGTACCCATCCCAGCTATCCTGCACGCAACCGCCATTTAACATGGCACCATGGATAGGCTCTGCCCTTTAACATGGCCCGAAGTAGCTGTTGGCCCCTGGCAGGCCTTACGCTGGCAACGGTTCGCAAATGTGAGGGGCTGGGCGGAGCTACCAAAGACCCTGGTGGTTCTCAAGATATATCGTCAAACAGAGCTGCCCGGTAAACCATAGTAGGCAGAAAGGGAGGGAGAGAAGAGGACAACAAACGAGGGGCTGTGACAAACTGTTTCGTCGGAGTTTCGATGTGAAAATGGGCGGCACAACCATCCACAGATCGCGCCACCTGCAACACCAACGGGCAGAGCTACCAAAGGCCCTGGCACCCAATCGACAAAATACCGAAGGCTTCCTATTCAACTAACGGATCCTGGGTCTGAGTCAACTTATGCATGACCCAACGAAAATCCAGCACCGGATGGATGGTCTGCAGATCGGTCCCGGGTCCCACTGATGCATGACCACCCATTCATGGCATAAATAGTTCCTGTCAACAGACTCAACACCCTGACACTACGTTATAAATGAGCAGAATCCGCAACAAAGTAAAAGACGCAATCAGCCAGACCACCCCAGCTTAATGGTTGCTAAAATACTGTAAGCACACTGTGATTGATTCATCACTAATCAGACAGTCACACGGACGAATCATCCCCAGCACGAAACAAACCCTCTCTGAGGCAAATGATACTTCGCCACCGCTGCAAGGCAACAACAACAACATAACTTACGCGAATGGGCATAGAAGCAAGTATGGTGTGGATTCACCATCCACCAATTGCTTGGCCCATGCGCACAACATCCCCCACACTAAACCATCTCTGAGATAATGATACTTCACCACTGCTGTGAGACAATAACAAAATATCGAACGGGAATGTTGTTGACTCACCACCTGCCAATTGCTTGACCCATACGGACAACATCACCCCGATTCACTGTAAATGAAAAGCCACCTCCGCCAGCTCCTTTGACCGGCGTTATTCCACCATCACTACAAGGGTTGGATGCAGTTGTAGTAGGCCTGCCCGCCCCAGCAATCGAGTACATTGACAGGTTCTGAGATGGTGGGGTTGCTGCCAAGACTGGAGAACCTGTCGTTGATGTTCTTGCAGGTGCTTCAAAAACCAGCACGACTGTCGAACCCAGGTTGAAGAATGCAATCTGTGTAAGTCATGTTCACCCAGACCAGAGCACACACACACACAAACGAGGAAGCGTACAAAAAAATTGATGGGGCTCGAAGAATGTATAGGACGTTGGTCTTCGGGACTGGAGTAATCATTAACAAGGACAATTTGCGGCGTTTGTATTCCATTGTCGAAGGGGTCTTCGATTTATAAAAAGGGAGCGTACAAAAAAATACAGATACGCTTTAGCAGAGAGGCAAACAAATTAAAAAAGGGAAAAAGGGTAGAATGGAAAAGAACATGGTTATGCTGGTCCCGGACACAAACACCATCTGAACGACCTGAACTTAGGTCCAGAGACCGTCTAGATGCGCCCAGATCTGATCTAACACCACCAGGGGACCGCCCAGACAGTTACCATCCAGATGCCCCGATCTGATCTAACACCAGGGATCTGATCAAAAACACCAGGGGACTGTCCAGCGTAGTTTTTTTTGGAAAACTACGCTATATTCTCCTCTCCTCTCAAATCTTTCATCATCTTTCAAATTCTTTCAATTCACCTGCACTACTTACCCAGGTTTTTTATAACTCTTCGGAATTTATTTGCAGTCCAGTTAAAAAAAAAAAAAAAACTTTTCAGAATTTATTTGAAAGATCGAAACTCAGAAGCAGCACCACAAAAGAAGTCAAAGGGACCGACCACAACAAAGAAGAGAGATGAAACGAAGGGGAGGCAATAACACACGATTCCCTGTCATGTCAATCCAGCATCATCATCACATGTGACCACTGTCTTCCCCTGGACATATAATGCAACCCTGATAGTGAAGGCATACAGACTATCTTTCCAGCCCAACACAGTCAAAACGAGTGTGCATTGCGTTTGTGGGAGAACAGTAGCCGCTCAATAGCAGAAAGCCTCTCTTATCGGTCAGAGAAGTCGAGTGACGTTCATTAACAGCTTGCACAGATGTTGTGAAGAGGGAGACAATAAGCAGAGGGACAGTCTCACAGAGAAAACTCGAAGCGAAGGCAATACCCAAGAACGCAAAGTGATTCCCGCCGTGGTGCTCAGGCACCCCTTGTGACTTTTCACACGTCCCTCTGCTCATTGTCGCCCTCTTCACAACATCTGTGCAAGCTATTAATGAACGTCACTCAACTACTCTGACTGATAAGAAGAGGCTTTCTGCAATTGAGAGGCTACCGTTCTTCCCCAAACACAATGCACACTCGTTTTGACTGTGTTGGGCAGGAAGGATAGTCTGTATACCTTCATTATCATGTCTATGTTCAGGGGAAGCCAGTGGTCACATGTGATGAAGATGCTGGATTGACATGACATGGCATGGTTCTATATTCTTGAGAAAGAAAGAATGCAATCCAAAAAAAAAAAATTTTTTTTTGGTAAGAATGAAGAATGCAGGACGCACACCTCCTGTCCTCGTCGGACTGACACTCCTCTCCCTCCATCGCCATACTCTCGAACGCTGACACACTCATGTGGTCTGATCTTCAACCGAGGTCTGTTTGTCACTAGCTCTGGATCAATTGACACCTGGAACAGAAGTCAAACGTTTACAAAGGTCATGCCCTTGGCCATCACATAACAGTGCCAAGATCCAGGATTGGAAATCCCTCTGGAATCAGCATGGAAAGGAAAATGTAATCACCTGGTAATGAATACCATAATAATGTAACATTGTGCTTATAAGTGAATTGCTTATAAGTGAATTGCATTTGCTTTGAAATGCATCATTGTGTTAACCCATCAACTGGTGGTCAAGAGTGCACTGTACATTGCTTATGAAGTTTACTTGCCTCTTAAGTGCTGCGGTGCGTCGTCGATTGTTTTGTTTGTCTGGCCAATAGAGATTTCATATAATCACAAGTACGGTAACCAGAAAGGACAGTGGAGAGCCAACAACGGAACTAGTTCAATCAGAGGCATATCTGGATGGAACACTTGTGGCATTGCTGGGTGTCTGACATGGAAACGCTGAAGTAATACCTTCCGGCGAATTCGAAAATGCCTGGTAACATTCCTGGCCTCTTGTAGCCACCAAAAACCTCACACTCGACCATCACACATGTGAATTGCCTGGAAATAGCAACCCCAACAGAACGAGATTGGGAGATAAGACAACAAAAAGGGACATTCTGTCTTCTTCGTGATGCCAATTACAGTTTCCAACTCCTGATGCCATCAAACAACCACACACTGATATGCACAACACAGGCTGGGGGCAGACAGAGGAAGGAATCGTGCGTGCACAAGTCTGTGCATTATGCCACATTGTGCAAACGGGAAAAGATGTGGTGTGTACTGACTGCCCCATCGCCTACTTGGCTTCTGCCAGAGGGAGGGGGAGAGAGAGAGAGAGAGAGAGAGAGAGAGAGGGGGGGGGGGGGGGGGGGGGGGGGGGGGGGGGGGGGGGGGGGGGGGGGGGGGGGGTTAGGCAAGTCGCTACATAGACACGTACATACGG